ACTAAAATATTTCTTAGCTAAAAACAAAAACTTAAAGGATAAAAACACTTTTGCCGACTAAAATTTTAGTAGCCAAAAATGTAGAACCTTAGGTGACCAAATATTTAGTAGCCAAAAGAGGAACTCTTTGCCGACTAAAAGTTTAGTAGCCAAAGATGTGGAACTTTCGGCAACTAAATTTTTAATAGCCAAAAGAAGAACTCTTTGCCGACTAAAATTTTAGTAGCTAAAAATGTGGGACTTTAAGCAACTAAAAGTTTGGTCGCCGAAAAGGGTCTAATTTAATTTAATATCCAACCTTTTGACGACTAAAATTTTAGTCGGGAATTGTATACAGTTGGCGAATAAAATAATTTTAGTCACTAACCACCTTTATTGACAATTTTTTGACGACTACTTTTGCGACCAAATAATTTAGTCGCTAAAACCATTCGGCTACTAAAAATTAATTTTTGACGACTAAAATTTTAATCGCCAAAAGTGAAAATTCTTGTACTAAAATCACATTACAAGGTTGTGGTGGATTCAAAAGCCCCAAGACCTCCTATAATTTATTGTCATCATCATTATTTTTTAGAACCAATTTGTAGTTTATTTGATAGTTTAGAGAAGCTCTAATAACAAACGATCTCTCAAATTAATATAGAAATCAAATATGATTTTTGTGCAATTGACCAGTCCCTCTGGACTCGATACCAGTACAAGTTTTATTATAGAAAATAAATTGGTTTTACAACGGATTAATTGGTAATGGTGATGAATGACTTCGTTTTTTCCTCTCTTTGTACTCTTTTTCGTTCTATTTTTCTTCGTTCTTTCTTTTTTCTTTTATTCTAATCAAAACGATATCATTTTAAAACATGAAAACTTTAAGATTATGTTTGGTAGAGTTTTCTAAATGTGATTTGAAAATAGAGTTGTATTTTGAGTTTATGAGTTTTGAAATTATGATTTGAGTGTGAAAAATTTGTTTGGTGAATGAGTTTTGAAAAGAATTTTTAAAAGAGTTTTGAATTGAGTAAGAAATTTTTGATGTAACATATGATATTTGATACAAAAACTTACAACTCATAACCAAACACATAACTCAAAATTCTATTAAAACTCATAAAAAAAATTTAAAAATTCAGAAAATATGTTTTATTGAATATATAAAAATTAACATGTGTTAATTGTCAAAAAAAAAAAAATTTGCACTGTTCCTGTCAACTGGGCGGATGACCGGTGAGACAACCGGTTAATCTAAATTTTTCTGCCTTCGACCACGTTTTCAAAAGTAAGCGTGGAATTAAGTTTTGAAATTTATAAACAAATGTCCTGTTCAAATCAGCTTTGGAACTAACGTTCCAGAGCTTTTCCACACTCCTCTACGGTTTTCCACACCAAAGAATCCCAACACATGTTTTTAGGCTTAATTAATGGCTTAGCGAGCTTGGTTAAACTCCACAAAACCATCCCAATAGAATATCCTCCACTACAATTGCAACAGAACGATCCACCGAAATTGAACCATTAAGCATACCCACTACCAGTTGAGAGTTTCCCTCCACAATAACACAATTAAATCCCAATTCTCCAGCCAGTAACACAGCCGCACGAGCCGCCAAAGCTTCCATCAACAATGCCAAATGTGCAACAGCAACATGGTTACGGGGACGGAACTAAGATTTTATTATTGGATGTATCAAAAGAAAAATAATTTTTTTCACCATATACACAAAACACACATGTATATATATATATATATATATAAATTATATATACACAAAAAAAAAATTTAAAAACCATAGAAGTAATTTTTAATAGGATAAATAAGTATTTTTTTATGTAAAATAAAATGAGAATTAAAGATGGAAGAAGAATGACATATATATTTTTTATACTGTGATCATTTTATATATAAAATAATATATATGTATATACATTTTTAAAGTTCTATTGCAAATAATAATGTTTACAGAAACAGGAGCCATAACCCCCCATAATCTTCTCTTAGTTCCGTCATTGCCCACCCCGCAGCGAAAAGCCCATTCGCATCCCTGCAGACGATGCCCAACCCACCTGTATTGGTCCTCTACCACCAAGCACCATAAAAGTTAATCTTAACACACCCAGGTGGAGGACACATCCAACTATCCGCAGGAACCATCTGATTAGGACTCTCCACCGCAGATAACAGAGCAGCAGCAAGCTTATTGTGTACCAAAACATACTCTAAAGAACCGCAATCTGACTTACCCGCATTGGATCAAAAGTCCTCCCCTCACCCCTTAAAAATGTGCCATGCCAAAGATGCCGCTAACGCCCAACACCATTCTTGATCATCCCGTCTCGCAACCAGCTGACCCATATTTGTCCACCAAACGAAGCAAAACGAACATGGGCATTATTTGTTCGGAACGGGGATAAAAACCAAGCATGCTCACAGGGCATTACCATATGCACATTGTTATATATTTTTCTTGTAGAAGTTAGATAATTTATGGTTAGAAAATATTTGGATAAAATAATGTGTAATATTATCACAAAAATACGTAATATTATCATAAAATATATAAATTTATTTCTAAATCATAAATTATTATAACTCTTACTAGAAAAATATATAATATTTACGACAAAAATACATAATATTTATCACAAAAATACGTAACAGGTGCATATGGTACATACCTTTTAAAGAGGTGTGTACTATAGTGTTTCCCTTAATATATATACACATATTTATTTTGTGTATAGCATTAATTTAGGCAAATTACACAATTAAACCCATAGTTTAATTTGGACCTAATACTTTTAGTTTTGTTACAATATTATCCCTCTATCTTATACCGTTAACATTTTTAATTGAAAAATAACACATGCAAAATTGAGGGACTAAAATAGAATTTAAAAATAAAATAAAATAAAATAAAAAATAAATAAATAAAACTAAAAGGACTATTGGTGTAATGAATAAATTATGGTGGCAGCTATACACTAACAGACATAATCATACACTAGCATGCTAAAGCTAATCATACACTAACACTGTGAAATGAAAGAACCTCCTCCTCCTCGATGTGTTAAGAGCACTTCACAGAAAAAAACCTCTCTTTTCCTTCTCTAAAAACCTCCTTCTCCGGTCTCTTTTTTGGGCCGGCTGGGCGCCGCCTTTGGCTATGGCGGTCAGCTGGCCTAGCTCGCTTTTCCCTTTGTTTTGTTAGTTTGTCTTTTCAATAATATTGAGTCCCCCGGTTCTACCCATCTAGGCGTGTTTCGTTGTTGCGGGAGAGTTTGGTGTGTTTTCGTTTTGTCTTCAGTTTGTCCTCATATGTTTCAACCTTGCCCTAATATCTGATTCAGCAGGGAGGTATTTCACTCGAGCGCTCTTTGGCAAGTAGGAGTTTGAGGGGTGCGCTTCTTGGATGGAAACAAGGGTATCGTAGGCGTTCCAGTTTCTGTCCGGTTGTCACTCGAGCGCTCCTCCTCGAGTGAGAGTTTGAGGGGTGAAGTTCTACCATTTGTTTGGAGGTGTCCCAGCGGGTGGTCGATGTTCGGTGGGTGTGCGGATCCGCGGCGTGAGATTGAAGACCTGTTGGTTATGGAGTTTGGCAAAGGGTATTGGGTGTGAGTTAGAAGATTATGAGAGGAGTAGTAGCAGCATGGTGTGGGCACTGGGCGTTTGGCAGAGGGTATTGGGTGGCGTGAGATTGAAGACTTGTTGGTTATGGAGTGTGGCAGAGGGTATTGGGTGTGAGATTGAAGATGAGGAGAGGAGTAGTAGTAGCTTGGAGTGGGCACTGGGAGTTTGGCAGAGGGTATTGGGTGTGAGATAGAAGTTAAGGAGAGGAGTAGCAGCAGCATGGAGTGGGCATTGGGAGTTTGGCAGAGGAGGTGTAGTCTTCCCGGTGGTGGCGTTGGTGTTTTTCTTGGCCGGAGTGAGGTGTTGACGCAGCAGAGGCATGGGGAGTTGATGCAGCAGAGGCGTGAGGCATGGGGAGTTGTAGCAGCAGAGACGTGGTCTTGGCAGAGGTGTGGGTTGCTGATTGGACGTTGGTTTGAATTTGAATTTTCTAGTTAGAGGCGTGGGCTGCTGTGGGTCTTGTTTAGTTAGTTTTTTTTTTCTTTTTAGTTTGGTTTGGGTGCTTTTGTGGGTTTTTGTGGGGATTCATGTATTTTATTTTCTAGTTAAGTTCTTCTTAACTTTTTAATTTAAAAAATCGAGAGGCTTAGGGGTTGGTTGTATGGATGCGAGTAGCAATAGTAAGGGTGTTTTTATACTTCTGAATTTCTCTCGATGCATCTCATCTTCCTGTACTTTTAATTTCATGCTGTTAAATGAAATTTTTCTTTGTAGATCAAAAAAAAAAAAAAGGGATTGTAATAAACAAAATTGAAAATGTAAGATTTGAATGAAAATAACGAAAGCTAAAATGAAATTTCACTCAGACTATACAGTCCAACAGTTTTATTTAGCCCATTAATTTAATAGAAAAATTGTCATTCAGTCTTCACATTAACCTCAAAATTTCCTTCTAATTTACTGCATATTCAGTTTGGGTGCATGGGCGGATTACAAACTTTACTTAAACGATTTAATAATTTATTTTTGTAGATTCTCAAGCATAGATCATTATTAACGAAATAAATAAATAAATTGAAGATGATAACATAGCTAGTGCTATATGATTTCATTATGGTAGTTTTCATTTTATCTTATTATGGACTTGAAAAATTAAAATTAAAATCAAAAACCACAAACATATATATACATAAAGAAAACCACTTTCGCGGTGAACGCGATTGCATTTAGCACATGCAATAAGCCTTTTAAACCTCTAAGTTACTCCTAGAGGACGAGTAAAGTCTCGTGAGGGTTTGCAGCAGAGATGATACCCACAAACATCTATCTACCGACTAATTTTTTTTTTTTTTGGGGGGATGTTTTTTTTTTGGGATTATTACAATATTTAGAGTAATTTTATTCGGTTGCATGGCAGTACTTGAGGTAACCATCATCAGAGCTTTTCTTGTCGGGTCTCGTACTTGAAGTTGAAGCAATTGATGCCAGTGTAAACGCCATCGTCCATGTTGTAGGTAATTTGCTTCCCGTTAGTAAGAGTGTCTTGTTGAGTATAAGAGAAAGGCACGTCGCAGGAACCCCTTGTGGCTAGCAAACTCACTTTCACCCTAGTCATTGGCGGCACAGTAACCTTGTACACAGTCTCTACTACACTTGTTGATGTAATAGTTTCTCCCCACTCGTACGCAGAGTTAATCTCAGCAGAAACTTCGATTTTTCCCTCTGCAATGAATGGGACACCAGTTTGGAAGGTGGTTTTGACCCCCAATTTCACGGAGACGCTGGCATTCCAAGTACTGGTCCTAGTGTCTGTATATGAGAGCTTCATATCTATAGTGTTGGGTTCTTGGGTACTATTAATGGCATCTCCATTGGCCATCGTGAGAACATTCTGGTTGTAGATCCTAGCGTCCATGAGTCGGAAATTGACATTATAGATTCTCCTGGAGAGAACAGTCTCGTAGAGCTGCAGGCGTGCCTCTGTGGTTATAGTTCTGACAGCGGCATTGAGACAACTGGTCTTTCCCTCGGTGGTGAGTCTCTTGCAGAAATTGTTGTTACCTAAGTTGCGGAGAGCGATGATGTTGTCCTCCACTTTGATAGGCCAAAACAACGTGTCGGAGTTGTTGCTGGTGGTGTCATCTGAGTCGGCCCAGATCCAATTAGGGCTGCGCCTCCAGAACTTTCCGAAGAAATCGGACTTTATGCGAATGCTCCCACCATTAGTGGTGAAAACCTCGTTCCCAACCGTTTCATCTCCAATGTCACTGGATGCGAACTGCAGATATGGGTGTCCCTCGATCATGCGGGCGCTAAGGTAGCTGCCATTATCGCCCTTGAAGGCGACGTGTTTGGGCAATATCAACAGCGATTCCCAATCGATGATTGTGTAGACATCGCAACCATCTTTGTCAATATCTGCGGAACCTGCAAATAAGCAGGCATAATGTGGGGGTGCAGCTCTCCATAAGCATGCATAGTGACCGAGCTGGACATGGCGAAATCGGAGTGTTTGAGCATCACCATCACTAGCGGTGCCCTGTACGTAGATGGGCTCGAACAAAGTACATGACCATGTGGATTGGTCTTCATTTGGTTCGTCAGCCCCAGCAACAATCCACCAGTGATTGGCTGACCACCTTACCAAGTATTTGTTGTCGTAACAACACCTTATGTGCACCAGATTTCCACTTCCACTCTTTGCCAACTCCACCTGAAACTTTACGTACGGGCTCACAACCTCCTCTCCGGAGAATTGGACAAACCCATGCACTTGCACATCTTCATTTATGTAGCGCAAGTATTTGTTGTTATAGTTTGATTTCAGCACTAGAAACCTTGGCAATGCCATTCTCTCTCTCTCTCACTCACTTGTCTTTTTTTTCTTTTTCTTCCTTTCTTGCTTGTGCCTTTTCTACTCAAACTTGCGATGCTATTTATAAGGGAAAATGGTGGTTGTGACGATCCAACTCCAACTCAGTAAATCAACCCAATACCGACAACTTTCTTCTCCTTTTTACCTTGTTTTCTCTCTCATTTATTGGGAAGATGAAAATGATTTTGATACGTATTCAATAAGTTAAAATACAATGATAGAAACTCTTTCATGACTATTTTATAAACCGTTTTTCATGAATTCTAAAATTCTTTTTATTTCATTTGAACAAGTGCAAAGCGGAAAAGAGAAATGTTAGGCATCATGAAAATTTTTTCATGAAAATAATCATGAAAGATTTGTGATCCTTAGATTACCTTGATTAATGTGAGGTGTTTTATTGCAATTGTAATCCAAAGGTCACAAATCTTTCATGATGATTTTCATGAAAGACTTTTCATGATACCTAACATTACTGATCGGAAAATATCAAAACCTTACACTGAAAAATACTCCTCCCAAATTAATAGTCGTTTTTAAAAATTCAAACTTTTTAACGAGATATAATTTTGGGTAAATTATGCAAATAGTCCCGGTAGTTTACACGATGTGTTAATTTGGTCTTTATAGTTTCAATTTGCTTGATTTTGCCCCTTAATTTAATGGATTGTGTCATTTTAGTCCAATAAATAACAGTTGCTAAGTTAATTTAACGGAATGATAAACAATGTGTCAATTTGGTCCATGTAATGAACTCACGGTGGTGGATGAACCGTCCTCACGGTGGAGTATGAACTGACGATGGTTCTCTGTTACAGCTTTGTGAAGGAACTATAGATAGATTAGGGTACAAAGTTCTAATCAAGGAGATGAAAAGTTTTTTTGGACTGAAATTTTGATATTATTCAATTTAGGCGCTAAATCAAAAAAAAATTTGGCTTTTGTATGCATGTAAAGACATAGAAAAATAAAAAAAAAAATAAAAATAAATCATAATTGGATAGTAATGTGAAAGTATTCCCACTAAAAAATAAATCTAGGTATTTTATGAAATTTTTTAGTTATCAAATTTGCAATTTGTTGTAGTGAGAGAGAGATATAAAAGGAAAATTGATAAACACACACACACAAAAAAAAAAAGGTGGAAAAAATTATTATTTTGTAATAATTAAAATTATAATATTTTTCATTTTTTTGTAAATAGTTTTTGTTGCCCCCACTGATGTGTTATTTCCCTTTGTATCTATTTCATATATTATACACTCAAAAATAATTTTTATAAATTTCATACTAATGTTGTCTCAATGATAATTTTAAAAAAATTTGAGGATAATATTAAATGTTTTCATTTGAAATGAAGGGATCAGAAGAAATAGTTTTATTTTTTATAAAAATTTTATTTATAAATCATTACTTATGTATATTATTTGTTGTTTGCTGGAGCAGTCCATATATATCAACCAGCGGGCCACACTTGTATTACGTGTGTAATTCAAAAAACGTAATAATATAATAATAATGCTAAAGAAAATATGTTTGCTTTAGTGGTAAGGGTCTACTTTGCAAAACCCATGATGTAATTGGTTCGATACGATTGATATTTAGGTAAAATTTTTCACTGAAGTGATAATGTTGGTTTTATTATTTTAAGTACCGATACAGATCGCTTCTCTTATCAAACCGTACCAAACCAAACCGATTGAAATGGTTCGGTTTGGTGCGGTATGATCAGTCTATGTGTAACGCCCTCAAAATAATAACATTAAACCCAACAAATAAGACAGGCATTGATATTCAAAAGTTCCACATTCTTTCATTTCTCAAAGTTTCATTACAAAAAGTATTACATGTTAACAACAAAAGCAAATGCCCTACAGGCTTACAGCTTTCCAAGTTAACACTTGGTTACAACCAAAAGAGTACTAACTCATACACATTAAGCCCTTGGCTTGTATTTACATGTAATACATCAAAAGTAAAACGACACCATTATGTCCGTCTTAGCCTCCCAAGCTATGTCCTTGGAGGTGGCATGCTTCCTGTACCTGAAAATGATATTCCCATATGGGGTGAGCCACAGCCCAGTAGAAATATATTAAACCAACCATGAACAATGACTAAAATATTGACAATTGATAGATGGCCAACACTGATACGATCACATAAATCACATATTTATGTCATACGACTTATGAGTCCAAATTACTTTTCATTTTCCCTTTTTTTTCAACAGATAGGCATATAAGCACTACCCAGTCCAAGTTACTTTTCATTTTCTCTTTTTCAACAGATAAGCATGTCAGCTCTATCATCAATTCAACAGATATGTATGAAAACTATATCCCACATTCACAGATAAGCATATAAGCTGTATCCACACTTCACAAAGATAAGCATATAAGCTCTATCTTCACTTCTCTAGACAAGCATATGAGCTGTATCTACGGAGTTCATCCCCTATCTTCTCCCAACACTATCCGGTTTAGAGGTACATCCCCCATCTTCCCCTAAACCGCGAAGTACATCCCCCATCTCCTCCTCTAAACACTATGACAAAGTGTACTATACAAGCTAGGTGGCAAGAGCACTCCGACAAGTGATGACATCGGCTAAGGACGAAGCTTCGGCAACTAAGGTGATAATGACCTCGGCTAAGAAGGACAACACTTGACTAAGCTGTACCACACCTTGGCCTAGATGTGCCACACCTCGGTCTAGGTCATACCACTCCAGGACAAGATCACTTAGGTGCAAAGGTAACATCTCGGCCAATGCGTCAAAGCAA